CTGAGTATTGAACCCATATGTCTGTCACAACTTTTAACCACTATAGTGTACTTTATATCATCTGGACTTTTTAAAATTTTGTAAAACATTTTTAACTATGGGAAAAATTCAGATTAATGTAATAAAGATATGCATGTTCTCTACTCAGAATTAATAGATATTAATATTTTGTAATATTTGATCCAGATGTATTCTTTAAATTAAAATATTAAAGTTTAAGTCACTCATTTAGAAAAAAATTAATTGAATGCCTCCCTTGTTCTGGGTGTTTGGAATAAATAGGTGAAGAGAAAGGACTTAAGATGGCAGAGTAGTAGAGGACTCTATGCTTGCCTCATCCCTTGAACACAGCTAGATAAATATCAGATCATTCTGAACACCCAAGAAATCGATCTGAAATAAATAGGTGAAGAACATATAGATTCCTGCCACAAGCCAAAAAAACAAACAGATAATAAACAATAACTATATGTTAGAAGGTGATAGTAGATGGGTGCCTGGGTGGCACAGTCAGTTGAGTGTCAACTCTTGGTCTCAGCTCAGGTCTGATCTCAGCGTTGTGGGATGGAGCCCCACGTTGGGCTCTGCGCTCAGCCTGGAGTCTGCTTGTGTTTCTCTCTCCCTCTCTCCCTCCCCTCCCACACTCTTTCTGAAATAAATAAAATAAATCTTAAAAAAAAAGTGATAACTGGAATAGGAGAAGGAAGAAAAATGTATAGCTGGATAAGGGAGTCAGGAATCTGGGGCTGGGAAGTGGAAAGAAGTTTCACTTTTTTTTTTTAATATTTATTTATTTGAGAGAGAGAAGAGTGCACGTGTGAGCAGAGGGAAAGAGAGAGAATCTCCAGCAGACTTCCCACTGAGCATAGAGCCTCACACAGGGCTCGATCTCACCACCCTAAGGTCATGACCTGAGCCAAAATCAAGAATTGGACGCTTAACCGACTGAGCCACCCAGGCGCCCCTAGAAGTTTCACTTTTTAATATGGTGGTCCAGATAGGCCTTATTGTGAAGGTAACAAGAAAACTTACCTGGGGAAGATAGTTTCAGGCAATGGAATAGCCAATGCAAAGGCCTTGACATGAATTCCCCTTTGTTCCCTTTCCCAATCCATTCTCCTTTCCTCGCCCTGAAGCAGATGATACTGTGAATTTGATATGTATCTTTCTAGTCTTTGTTTTTATACTTCTCCTCATGTGTATCCATAAATAATACTGAGTATTGTCTGTTCTTGAGTTGTATAAATAATGTGATACCATACTTGCTGTCTTTCATTCAAGTTATGAGCAAAATATGTTGTCTAGTTCATTCATCATTTTGACCTGTTTAGTATTCTGTAAAAATGCCACAACTTATGATTTTTTTCCTATTACAAGCACATTAATATCTTTATACATATTTCCTTAAACATAAGTGAGAGTTTGTTTAGGGTTTATATCTAGAAGTGAAATAATAGAGCTATTCATATGCATTTCAGCTTTATTAGATACTGCCAAATTGTTTGATTGCTTACATCAACAAGTGTGTTAAAAATACTATTTCTTCATATTCTCACCAGCCTTTAGTACTTTTTTTTAAGATTTTATTTATTTATTTGAGAGAGAGAGAATGAGAGATAGAAAGCATGAGAGGGAAGAGGGTCAGAGGGAGAAGCAGACTCCCTGCTGAGCAGGGAGCCCGATGTGGGACTCGATCCCGGGACTCGATCCCGGGACTCCAGGATCATGACCTGAGCCGAAGGCAGTCGCTTAACCAACTGAGCCACCCAGGCGCCCAACCACCAGCCTTTAGTATTATCAGGATTTTATTTTTGCCAGTGTGGTGGAGTGAATTATTGCTTTTATATTAGTTTTCTAGATTACTAGTGAAATTAAACTCTTGTTCAAATGTTTACTGACATTTCAACTTTCCTTCTCTGTAAATTGCCTGCTTACATCCTTTGTCTATTTGTTTATTGGCTGGGGTTTTTTTAAGACTATTTTTTTTAAGATTTTTTTTTTAATTTATTTTTATTTATTTGACAGAGAGAGCACAAGCAGAGGGAGCGGCAGGCAGGCAGAGGGAGAGGGAGAAGCAGGCTCTCTGCTGAGCAAGGAGCCCGGTGGAGGGCTCGATCCCAGGACCCTAGGATCATGACCTGAGCCGAAGGCAGCCACTTAACGACTGAGCCACCCAGGCGCCCCAAGACTATATTTTAAGAGCAGTTTTAAATTCATAGCAAAATTGAGAAAAAGGTGCAGAGAGTCCCTGTAATACTCCTTGCCCCCACATATGCATAGCCTCCCCCATTAGCAACCTCCCAACCGGAGTTACACATTTGCTGCAGTTGATGAACCTACATTGACAACATCATTGTCACCCTGAGTCCACAGTTTACATTAGAGTTTACTCTTGGTATTATATAATCTGTGGGTTTGGATGAGTGTATGACATGTACCTATCATTATAGTATCATACAGTATTTTCACTGCCCCAAAGCACCTCTGTGCTTCACCTATTTGTCTACTTCCCCACCACCACCCCTGTTCCACAACCCCTGGCAACCACTGATCTTTCTACTATCCATAGTTTTACCTTTTCCCAAATGTCATATAGTTGGAATTATACAGTATGTACCCTTTTCAGACTGTCTTCTTTCACTTAAGTAATATGCATATAAAGTACCTCCATTGGGATGCCTGGGTGGCTCAATTGGTTAAACATCTGCCTTCAGCTCAGATCATGATCCCAGGGTCCTGGGATCAAGTCCTGCATCGGGCTCCTAGCTGAGCAGGGAGCCTGCTTTTCCCTCTGCCTGCAGAACCTCCTGCTTGTGCACGCTCTCTCTCTTTCTCTGACAAATAAAAATCTTTAAAAAAATAAATAAATAGGGACACCTGGGTGGCTCAGTCAGTTAAGTGGCCACCGTCGGCTCAGGTCATGATCCCAGGATGCTGGGATCGAGTTCCACATCAGGCTCCTTGCTACACAGGGAGCCTGCTTCTCCCTCTGCCTCTGCCACTCCCCCTGCTTATGCTTATTCTCTGTCTCTCCCTCTCTTTCTGACAAATAAATAAATAAAATCTAATAAATAAATAAATAAGTATCTCCACATCTTTTTGCAGTTTGATAGCGCAAAGCTTTGGGCCTGAATAATGTTCCATTATCTGGATGTACTACAGCTTATTTTTCCATTCACCTACTGAAGGACATTTTGGTTGCTTCCACGTTTTGGAAGTTGTAAATAGAGCTGCTATAAACATCTGTGCACAGGTTTTTTTATAGTCATAAGTTGTTGACTCCTTTGGATAAATACCAAGGAACATGATTGCTGATCAGATGGTGGAATATGTCTAGTTTTGTAAAAAAAGCACCAAACTCTTCCAAAGTTGCTGTACTATTTTGTATTCCCATCAGCAATGAATGAGAGTTCCTTTTGCTCCACATCCTTGCTACAGAGCCAAACATTTGACCATGTGATGATGATGTCAGTGTAGGTTTATCAGTTGTAGCAAATGTATGACTCTTGTGGATGGATTTTGATTCAGCATTTGATTTTGTCAATGTTCGGGATTTTGGCCATTGTGCTTGGTGTATAGTAGTATCTCATTTTCGTTTTAAATTGCAGTTCCGTTATGAGATATGATATGGAACATCTTTTCATCTGCCTATTTGTCATTTGTTTATCTTTGATGAGATGTCTGTTAAGGTGTTTGGCCCAGTTTTTCATTGGGCTGTTTGTTTTCCTATTGTTAAATTTTAAGTGCTCTTTGTCTATTTTGGGTAGTGGTCCTTTATCAGATATCATTGGCTGTCTTTTTTTTCTTAGTGATTTATATCATTTTTTTTTATTTAGAGCAGTTTTTCCAAATGGTTTCTGAGAAACTAAGTTGACTACAATGTATTTTGTTGTCATCAACTGCTAAGTGATAGAATTAATTTCTGGTATTTTAAAGCTTTTTGTTTTTTTATTTAAATTCAGTTAATTAAAATATAATGTATTACTGGTTTAGAGTCAGAGGTCAGTGATCCATCAGTTTTACATAATACCCAGTGCTCATTATATCACATGCCCTTCTCAATGTCCATCACCCAGTTACCCCATCCCTCCCACTCCCTCCCCTCCAGCAGCCCTCAGTTTGTTTCCTGTGATTAAGAGTTTCTTAGGATTTGTCTCTCTCTTTGATTTTGTCTTTTTTATTTTTTCCTCCCTTCCCCTATGATCCTCTGTTTTGTTTCTTAAATTCCACATATGAGTGAGATCATATAATTGTCTTTCTCTGATGGACTTATTTCACTTAGCATAATGCCCTCTAGTTCCCTCCACGTCATTGCAAATGGCAAGATTTCATTTTTTGATGGCTGAGTAGTATTCCATTTTATATATATATACCACATCTTCTTTATCCATTCATCTGTCGATGGACATCTGGGCTCTTTCCATAGTTTGGCTATTGTGGATGTTGCTGCTATAAACATTGGGGTGCAGGTGCCCCTTCAGATCATAAAACTTTTTTTGTTAAAGACCTAGTCTTATAATTTATTGTCAACTTTTATTTCTGTAAATTATGGATTATGACATCCCTTCAGTGCCTGCTGCCAACGTACCACAAGGTAGGAAGGTGCAAAAGATGAATTAAAATCAGAAATTGCTTATTAGCTTGTTAGCTTTAATGAAAAATTTGGGGAAAAATACAGAAGATATGGTTACAGGGAACTGTGTGTGTATTTTAATAAACCATGCAATTTAGTTGCCCGTATTGTTCCTATATTCCCATCCTAACAGTAATATTGTTATAAATATACAGAAGTGGGGCTGGAACATGTTCTTTTGAGATGGTCATTATCAGGTACTGAAGATCAAGCCACAGTATTCTGCTGACTCCTGTCAAACAAAAAAAAATAGAAAATAGTGCTCTTTGACACATGATGTCATAAAATCTGATTTTATGTAAAAATAGATGGTTTATGTATTTCAATGTAACAATCCTTTGGTAAACTTTATCTTCCTATCTTACAGATTAACAAATAGAAATATTATACACAAACCTGCAGAGTGGACCTTAATTGCTGTGGTGTTGCTGTCATTGTAAGTACTCCTTCAGATTTTAACTCTAAATACTAAATAGAATTTTGACTGAGGAAAAACCAAGTTATTCATTGATTTTATAAGCATCTTTGGAAAATGTACCTCTATTTTGTGCCTTACTTTCCTTTCCTATGTGATGAAATAACTTTCATGTAAAGTGATATGCCGGTATTTTGTTAAGCTTTAATTATTCTCTACCTTTTTTGCCATCTTTTTGTCTGAGGGCCTTTTTCTTCACAAATATTATTTGTTATCTTTTGAAAGAGGAGAACATCTCCATGTGGAATATATGTGGAATAGTCCTTTAATTTCATTTTTAACAATGCATTTTTATTAACATTGAATAGGTCTCATTATTTTATAACTGTAGTTTTACCAACATATTTAATGCTATTTCATTTTTTTTCAACATACTATTCATAGCTTTAGGAATGTTTTAATTTCCAAACTAATATACATCTTTAAAATCAAACAGATATAAAGGAACTATAAAGTAGATACTTACTACACAAGCATATATAAAACATTTAATACTCATTCACCTTTTAAGAAATCACTAGTGGTTTCCAAAGCTGTCTTTCAATAGGGTTAAAACCATCTAGTAAGTGTTGTGTTTTTCAGCTTGAATTGCAAGTCTTCTTTTGAGGACCATTCATTACTGCATTAGTGTTGCTACTTGCTGCTTGTTAGGTCATTGAAGCCCATAGGACACTGAATACTTACTGGACACTCACAGGTCAAGAAGTGTTACGAGCCAACCTCATAGCATCTCCAGCCCTGCTTTCTCTTTCTTTGATATTTCTTCAGTCTGACATGTTACTCTGGCTTCACTGTCCCAAGGAAGGCTGTTCTGGGAGGCATTAGAGTAGGCTTCAGTGAGCCAGCATCTGTGTCACCCAGCCAGATACAACTCACATGATTCATTAAATCAGAACACAGAAAATAACTTTACTTGAATGCCCTGATATAAATTTTTTATCACCCATAAGAACAAATCTTTTGTCATTTCTACTATTCAGTGTTCCAGTTGAATTGGTTATTTGTGAAACAGATCTTATTAATTTTTTAGAAAGTTCTTTCCATTTTATGAAATTTGTAAATATTTTGGTCACTAGCAAAAAAATATATCAGTATCTCTGCTCACCCACCATATCCTATGCCTGCCAATAAACCCTCATAGATAACTGTTAAACTGTACTTCTGCAATTCATTATACTAAAGAGGAAGTAACTTTTTTGGTTGACAAGTCACAGGCCTGCGCCAAGCAGTAATCTCAGAATCTTGCTTTCTAAGCCAGTAACTGGAAGTATTATCTTAATGAGCAGCTGCTTACTGAGGACACATGTTAGGTCCTACTTTTTTTTGTATCAAACTCTGGACACATCTTCTCCAAAATGTATAGCAAGGAACAAAAAAAGTATAGAAAATGAAATAATAAAGACTGCCATTAAAATTTCAAATGATTATGCCACACAAAAATAAGCTTTTAGTGTTTGATTTTAATAAAGGCCCCCATGTGACACAAAATATTGAAACCTTTGCTGATCCTTTTAGGCACTATTTGACTTCCCTAACTTTGGATATAGTTTAGGGAACCTCTTATTTCAAGGGTCAGTGACCCATAAAAATAGTAACTTAATTGAAGTTAAGAAACAAACTGCACACATCTTATTTGTATTGCATGTTGCACATTACGTGGTCAGTCTTGAGGTAGCAGTAAACACTGACTAGTTCCTTTTGTCATTCACCTTGAATCCTTTTCTTTCATTATATATTAACCCCTAGCTAGATCTGTCCATCTTTCTCCTGGTCCTTGGTCCTTTTGATACCTGAACAACTAAAATACTGTAGAGTTAGGGCTCTTCTGGCTTCTTTTAAAATCATTGGTCATTGTAGACACCAAGTCAGCTGACACTTTCTTGGTTTTTGCTTTTGAAATATTTTCTCATAATTCTAACTTGCCATTAGCCCTCCTTGCAGGTTATTCCTGATCCCTTCCGTTCTGTATTTGCACCTTTATATATTCACTAGCTGAATCCCCTTATTCTTTGGTCATCAGCTTCTAAGACTTTGTCTCCTGTCCCAGTATTATTTTATTTATTTCCTCTTTTCTCAGAAAGTCCCCTTTAGCTTTTCATATTTCTTCCCCCAAAGACTCTCTGGCTCAACTCATAAGCCCCTTCTTTCTCAGCCTTGTCCTTTTAATATCCATATTACTTTATGAGATGGGGATAAAATTAAAATACTTAGTGAAATACTAATCCCATTGACTTCTCTAAAGTATAATTTTACTTTGTATTTGCACTCCTCTACTACATAGTAGTCCAGAAGAATGAAAGAGGGCTGATTCTTCAACTTTCACATCTGTACTCTTACTAGTAAATAGGTGTTTCTGTAGCAAATCATCTTTTCCTCGTAACTTCCCTTGCAGTTTCACAGATGTATTAACATTAGAAAAATTTAAACCACAATGTGTAATCTGTCCGTGTATACTGATGGGAATTTTATACCCATATAATCTCAGGAAGGAATTGATCAAATCAAATTATATACTTCATCTTTGCACACCCAGTGAAATACACTTATATGTAAAAATACATCATGATCTATTCCCATTTCATTTAGATTTCTCCATATGCCTTGAATGGCCAATATGACTGCAATGTTTATGGATATTTATACTTTATACTCAAACCTTAAATAGTTGTCAAGAGCACGCAGAAAGACCTTTTAAATCAGAGCTTAAACAGTATACATTTATTTAGCAGTGAAGGAATTAATTTCCCTTTAGTCCCTTCATGTTTATTTAATAAATGTTATAATTAGCAAAGATTCTGAAGTACTCCTTACATAGAACATCTGTAATACTAATAATTGACTCAGTATTATTTTGTTTTGTTTTAAAGATTCTATTTATTTATTTGAGAGAGAGAAAACAAGCAGAGGGAGGGGTAGAGGGAGAGGAAGAAGCAGACTCCCCACTGATCAGGGAACCCGACACAGGGCTCAGTCCCAGGACTCTGAGATTATGACCTGAGCTGAAGGCAGAGACGTTTAACAGCTGAGCCACCCAGGTGCCCCTTTTTTTGTTTTTTAATAACTCATTAGAAATGCAGTAAAGTAGCCTGGTAATTGGTGTTACTGCTTAAGCACTTGCTTATAGTAATTTTTTAGCTTAGTTGAACTTTATCAGACTTTACTCTTACATACTATATGTTGAAATAATACAGAGTTGAATCTGATTTTCCCACAAAGTAATGCTCTAATACTAGGCTCTTTCCATAGTCTTGATGCATGATTTTTTATAAAGGTGTGTATAAATATAGAGACAGTCAGCTATAAATATTTTAGTGCCTGTATACTCTATTGTGTAAGGCTAGTTAATGTATTTATATAATTTTGATGTGTTTATATACCAAATTAGCAAGCATAATAATTAAAGTACATTTTGTGATGCCTCCTCATAATGTATCATATTTGTTTTTATATTCCTCATAATTCTCATCCTACTCCTAATACAAGAAAAACAGACACTGTAGAATCAATTTTCATCACGGTCTTGGTACTCAGTAGTTTCTTTGAGAATATTTTGACTGGTATTCTGAGAAGATTTTATAGCCATAGGACACCCCCATCAGCTTGATCCCTTTTCTCCTTTTCCTCTTCCCTTTGTTCTTAGTCTTCCCAGTCTTCTTTGAGCTCTCATTATACATCAGCCTGTAACACAAGAGGGAACTATGTTGACCGAAAGCTGAGAAATCTAGAGAAAGGTCCAGACTAGCAGCCAAAGAGAAACCATATAGAGGGCTATGGAGAATTAGATTAACTGGCCTAATTTACTTTATGCACAGCCCACATGCCAGAAATGGAAATCCGTTTCCTCACTGACTTTTCATGTTTAAAATGTAACTTTTCCACCCAAGCTAACCTTTGTAAATAGCCACTACTTTGCATTATGACAATCTCTGGTTAATTGTAGCATAGGAGTTGAGTGTCTTTTAGTAGGTAGCCAGAGAGAGGGGTAAATGTTGTTCTGTGGGAATGATTTGATTATCTAATGAAGGAGATGAATACTTCGTATTACTTAGAGAAGGTAGAGAGTGACTTGTGGTAGTCTAACATGGATACATGCTATTCCTAGTTTTATGCCCTTGGTGTTCTCTAATGGAAAGCTTTCAAGATCATCTCCAGAAATGTCTGCTTTCATTTTATTTATCTGAACTGTCTGTTTCCAGTGAACTGTGGCCCACTTCCTAGGCAGAGACCATGCAATAGTTTATTCCCCCTAAAAGCTTTCAGTATTCCCATTGTTTAGGGAAGAGCATGTTAAGTCCTGAGAAATGGTATTTAAACAAGCTCAACTTGACCATGATCACTAAACAAAAGCCGTCACTGGATATGGGCAGCCACTTTAGGTAACCATCATACAGACACTCAAGAGAGTCACTTCCCTAGGGTACTAGGCATGACTAGAAAGATGTAACTAAGGCTTTTTGCCTTAGCAGGTTGTTTTTTTAGCCCACCCATCACTAATTTCCTTAGAGAAGTTTGTGAGCATACCATGAAAAATGAAGAGATGGTTCCTTAGAAATTTATTGGTTTTCAGAAGTATTCTAAGGCCTTCCTTCTAACATTCCAAATTTGGTTCTGAGTAGCTGAGACCATAATGGAAGATCATTGAAATAACTTTTTTATTTTTCCTTATAATTGTGGGATTTTTTACATTTAATTGAATTTTTATTGAGATACAAATTCATATAACATGAAATTCACCATTTTAAAGTGGACCATTCACTGGTTTTTAGTATATTCACTATATTATATAAGGGTCATAACTGTCTAATTCCAGAACATTGCCATCACCCCAAAAAGAAACCTATCTATTAGCTTAGTCCCAATTTCCTCTTCTTTCAACCCCTGGCAACCACTAATCTACTTTCTGTTTCTATGGATTTACCTATTTTGAACATTTCATACAGATGGCATGATATAATATGTGG